AACCTCGAAGGGAGAATAGAGAGGGAGTGGTTGGCGTAGCGCGCAAAGCCGAAGGTCCTGGGTTCCCTCGATATTTTTCCGTCGGTTCCTACAGTTATATTAGTACGAAAAATTCATTGTAATCCTAACTTTTGTTTTTACTTGCAAGATTAAGAATTCCTGAAACAGATTAGCTGTTGTTACAGTACTAGAACATTAAATGGCGGACGCTTAGATGCATAGTCGGAAAAGAAATCATAGGTTAAGGGGTTAATCGTTCATCGGCGGGAATGTGATTTGATAATGCGAAACAGTGTCGTTACTGTCGAAACATTCGTTACTTTTTCGTTAAACTTCGTTAAATTTCTTTTATTTGTGAAGAGTTAAGTACGAAGGATGCGCTTCGATATTGAAATTGGAAGAATATGGAAAAGTTGATCATTTTTGCTACCGAGTGGCGCGCATACGAGCAAACGTATCGATACCTCGGTGATTCGAGTTTTGTCTCACAGCTGAGTCAATCTCATGCACAAGCGAAATCTAATATCATATTGTTCAAATATGTGTACTACACCGAAGAGCACATAATGCTTTGTAACGTGGCAGCAACGTGAATAATGGTTGCATTATCTCACTCGTATTGACACGAATTTATGCTTTTCGACCAAACTTTAATAACGATTGGCATTCTCTCCGGAAAAATCCGAGAAACGACTAAACTTTTTAAGAAAATCGCGATCGCTGTGTTCTTCTCTTGGAATTTCACTGCACGATGTTTGCTATATTAAAACCTTCTGTTTACAATAATCATGGAATCGTCCCTTGAAAGTTTGGAATCCCTAATTCGAGAATTCGAAAAGAAAAAGTTCAGAATGAAATTAGACTCTGTATCAATAGTTAGAAATTGATGGCAAAATTGTGTGGAAATTCCATATTGATATAATCTGTAGTATTGGTTTTAGTCATCCAGTTTAGTTCTTCCTAAACAACAAACATTCCATCGACAAACTTTGCTAATACTCACCTCCGAACCTCGACTTCAGTGCCAAAATAACCGATCTGCAGGATTTTGTATAACTTATCGATTGTACAACGCTACTAATTTCTTCGCCTAAATTCCGTTAGCTGCCCTATCGTGAAATTATTAACTATAATAAGTGGAACGTTGGGAAACAAACTCTGCGAAATACAACACCTTTCTTCCGTCTAATGTATAAAACAAAATTCCATCGAGGAAAAAATAAATCAAATGAAAATTCCGTATTGACATCGTTAAATAAATGATTCTCGGAGTGAACTCGAAAATTTTCACCAATATCGGAATTTTCAACTGCAATTCCAAAATCTGAGTAAAAATTCGAATAGCATTCTCAGAAAGAAACAGAAATCGACATTTCCAATTTTGCTCTTCGTTTCAAGAATCTGAAGGTAAAGTAAAATCTAAAAATAAACATCTAAAATGAATCAAAAGTATTAAAAAAAGAAACAGAGAATAATTATGAAATTGCAATATGTTCGTTGACAAAAATCGTCGATGATTGATCGATTTGTGTTGTCAACGTGACTAGTGCCAGTGGCTTACGAATAAGGCTGCTTTCAACTCGATTAACAAACTACTGGAAGTTCGAGTTGGTATAATTGAAGGTGGACAGGGTCGCGGCGTTAAATCGCATTAAAATTTCGTAAACGTTTGACAAGTTCTAGAGGGAAGTTAAGTTTCCAACAGCTTATTGTTCCCCGACGAGCAATTCCGTGCATAAAACGGAACTGCAACTTTTTGGACCTTCAAAATATTTTCACTCGTCGAGAGACGAAAAATAGGGAACGATTTCTTGGAGAAAGTTACACGAAGAGAGGATTGCTTTTTGTCCAGGAGAAGCTTTAGGTTGGAAACCGGAAGACAAATAGGAGAAAATTTCACGAAATTTCGGTGTTTTCCTCGAGTGACGATATTTGTCAAATGGAAACCAACGAGCCGTGAAATGGAGGTCGTCCATGAACACGCGATGCACGGAGCTAATGAACCTTACTCCGCGAAAGATATTAAACGTAACGATCCAGGCGGCCCTGCAAAAAAGGTGTTCGGTGAAAATGAAGGAAAGAAGGTTGAAACGAGGAAATATTAGGTTTGTTTATAAGTTAAATGAAATAGGGAGTGTGTAGGTATGATGTTATAACGGGTGTGGCGATACGATATGATTTTTAAAGAACTATTGTGGGATATTCTGGATAAATTTCATTTCAGGTTTAATTGTGTTATTTCTAAATTCTAAAACTTTCAAATTTCTAAATTTTCTAAGTCCCAAATTCTCAAACTTCCAAAATCCCAAATTCCTAAGGTCCCAAATTTGCAAATTTCCAATTTTCTAAATTCCTAAAGTCCCAAATTCTCAAATTCCCAATATCCCAAATTCCTAAAGTCCGAAATTTTCAAGTTTCCAATTTTCTAAATTCCTAAATTCTCAAATTTCCAAATTCCCAAATTCCTAAGGTCCCAAATTTGCAAATTTCCAATTTTCTAAATTCCTAAAGTCCCAAATTCTCAAATTCCCAAAATTGCAAAGTCTCAAATTCCCAAAGTCCAGAAGTCTCAAATTCCTAAAGTTCCAAATTCTCAAATTCCCAAAGTTCCAAAATCCCAAATTCCTAAAGTTCGAAATTTTCAAGTTTCCAATTTTCTAAATTTCCAAATTCTCAAATTTCCAAATTCCCAAATTGTGGAAATTCCCAATGTTCCAAAGACTCAAATTCCTAAAGCCTCAAATTCCAAAATTTCCAAATTCCCTAATACTCTACCTATGGAATCTATCTATGCAAAAGCGTCAAATTCGACATTTTTCAAGTTACGCAACCTATCAATACCAAACAGTGATATTACATCTTTATCAGAAGAAAAAGTATATATTATATTTAGAGTACAGCAAAGATACGCGAAGTTTCGAAACGTCCTAAGAACTTACTAAACGAAGCAAAAGAGTTACGTTAAGCTTGTGAGAATTAAAATTGAAGATTTTTAAATATTCTGATTAATTCGAAGAGAACTGCTATCGATGTGTTATTCGATTCTGGACTTACATTTTAAATGACGTTTCATTTTTCAAATCGTCCGTCCGTAAAAGGTTCTTGAAATAAAAGTAGTAGGCTGACAGTGAGATAAGTGATAAAAAAAAAAAAGAGAAGTTAGTGAACTTCGATCACGCCTACGGACAGCATGTCAATTCTACGTGTTCATAAATGCGCTGAAAAAGAGGTGACGCCTTCCCTAGATATG